CAGTCTGCAGTAGCTCTCCAGCACTGTTATTTTGTAAAGCCAACATGAGTCCTCCCATACTGACAGAGTTCAGACACCCAGTGCATGGCATAGGAAGGCCTAGAAGTACTGTGAAACGGGTAGCAGGAACCTAGGTCCAGATGCCTGGACAGGTGACTTCCACTGGGTAGCTAGTATACACCACAGGGCATTTGGTGCTGAAGAAAAAGCTCGCCTGGAGTGTTTCTTACCTATTTCCTACATAGCAGTTTAGCTTGACCTAGACCAGATGGGCTCAGCTAGAAGTAACCAAAATCACCTGGGACAGTGAAGGAGCCAAAAGAAAGACTAAACTGATATTCAAGAAGACAAGGATAAGTGAAATGAGAAGTGAAACCATACATGCAAAATTGAAACCAAGTTTGGACATTTTTCCCTATACAAAAAAGAAAGTAATACTAATTGGTTTATTCTACAGATATGTATCACCTCAAATAATTAAATTGCTTATTAAAACTGTGTGTGGCTTAATAAGTGATACTTGGGGCTGGAGAGATAGCTCAGTGGAATAAGTGCTTGCCTGGCAAGTGCACGGTCCTGAGTTCGATCTCTGGTACCACACACAAGAAAAGTGATGGTTGTCACTATCTGCGCCTATCTTTTCAACACGTCCATTTGTCTGATTAGATGCACCTAACCATCTACTAGCAGCTCCTGGATTTGAGCTTACAGGACTCAGTCTGGAATCACAATGATCCAGGGGCATAAGAATGGAGGTTCACACTCCCGGTTCTCTTTTTTTCTTTCTCAGCCTAAACTTTGAAAAGTGAGGGCAAGCAGGGCATTTCAGAATCAGCATTGGGACAGGTATGCCTTGCTTTTCTGGTGCTATGTGAAAAACACCAGTCTTTTCTATGCATACCAAGTATGCGTAAGAAGACAGCAGATGAAATGTAATAATTGCAAGCAATGAGCACAGACGAATTAATGAAGCAAATTACTCCCAATAATGGGCATTGCCTCATCTACTGTACATTCACCATGCTGCTGTTTGTTTGTTTTTGAAATTTTCTTTCAGAAGGCTGTTTGCTAAGACTTAAACAGCACAACTCTGGATTAGTATGGCTTTCCATTCCTACGAAGTGAATGCAGTGGCTTCTGTAGTAAATGTAGCTCTGGCCATTTAATCCATGCAAATTCACATTCAGGAAAAGTTGTATTCTTATTCCCTATGAAACCATGTCTGAGTTATTTGTTTTGTATTTTTGTGTGCTTGTTTTGTGTGTCTGTGGCTGGCTCAGCCCACCCTGGGAGCGGGGCTGGCGCGGTATGGGTGCCGGGGGTTGAACCGCGGTCCTCGAGCTGGCCTAAGGTTGCCTAAGCAGTCTCTTTAGACCACTGAACTATCTCCTGGGCCCCATGTCTGAGTTATTTGAAACTATCCAAAGGTAATGTGAGATGATCTGCCCTCTGCCTGCTCCCAACCTGAAGCAGGAAACAGGAATTGAGGCACAAGGCAAGAATATTTGTAGTGCAGCTGGTCCTGACACTGACAAATGAACCAGACTCCGTGCATTCAAGTTTCGTAAGGATCGTGCCTTGTCCTTCCAGCTGCCCTCTGAACTGTGAGCACTAGTAGATGGCTCCAGTGTAAAAGCAGCAGCAGCTCCCCAACTGATGCCAAGATTTGGGACTTTGATTTTCATCCTTCCTAGCATCACAGACAAGCTCAACTTTCTGTGTCTGACCATGGAAACAACTATGAAAGCACAAAGAAGAGCATTATCTGTAGGCCCTCCCTGTAGTCTGTGCCACAGATTTGCTGTGTAGTCTTGCAGAGCTTCTGCAAAGGGGGTCGGGGTGGGGGAGGGGATGCAGTACCAGGGTGTGAGGCCAGGAAAACCTACTGCCTGCGAATACGAGGGAAGCGGGAGACGCTCTAATAGCTGCCTTGTTGTGGGTGATGCTTGCACCGCATTTCCCCCATTTCATGGGTTAAATCAAGTGTGAAGTACATGGGTCTTTCAATGGATAAGATAATTTTTAGAGGAATAAAACGTGTATTTTGTGGAATCTGTCAGCTCACTCTCTACGAAACTACATAGTCATTTTAAATTAACTTTGAGGTGGATAAATGTTTGATCACACATAGTCAAAGCTTTAAAGAGGGGGTGGATGAGACGGGGTAGTAGGGAAAGAGAAATTTCACTATGGAGCTAGGCTACTTGTATATGTCACTTATCTAAAAATTCACGAAATGGATAAATTCTTTAATACTTTAAGCTAAATCAGTTTTTGTTGTTGCAGTACGCTTCCCAGGAATTAAAACTTACATTGACCCGGACACCTATGAAGACCCAGCCCTAGCGGTCCACGAATTTGCGAAAGAGATTGATCCTTCTAGAATTCGCATTGAAAGAGTCATTGGAGCAGGTAAATGTCAGTGCTCGACTTCTGAACGTACGATTTCTTCATGGGATTGCAGCTATAGTACTAACACGGAGTATTTTTATTTTATTTATTTATTTTTTGTGGCCAGCTCAGCCCGCCTTGGGGGTGAGACTGGCACGGCTTGTGGTACCAGGGACCAAAACGCGGTCCCTGTGCTTTGCCTGAGCTTGCCTAAGCAGGTGCTCTAGTCCGCTGAGCTACCTCACTGGCCCCCAACATAGTACCTTTAAATCTCTGCGATTTCATTGATTGAACATTCTTAAGAAATAAAATGATCTTACAGTTGTTATGTTATTCTTTATGAGGCCACTGTTTCCAAGCAATGAGAAATTTTACAAGCTGTTCTTAAAACCTCATAGTCTTCTTTCATAGTGAAGAGAAATTATAGTAAAAGTGTACTTCCAGAACTTATTTTAAAAATACAACTTTAGGAGCTTATCATGGGGTTATTATAGACTTACTTGAGTGCCAATGTCCACAGACATATACTGTACTCTAATAAATACTCCTCATGATGATTTTGATGATCTTGAGACCAAGAGGTGTTCTGAGAATCACTGCGGGCAAAGTTTGTTTCAGCATAGTTTTGTGTCATTTTAGTGTAAATTAATAATTCTCCCTAAATAGGGTTTTGTAATATTCCACATACTTTATTATCCAACTATTCTGGATAACTACAGAGTATTATAAATTAACACATAAAAAATTAGTCTGTAGGTGAGTTAGGTAAGGGGTAAGCTGATGAAGCCAAGGGGCTCCAGACCGAAGACCTTGAGTCTCTGACCCATGGCGCGTGGTCCGTGCTGCCGAGGGGCTGTCCCTCAGCTCTGTCAGGGGCCTTATTCTCTCCTTCTTGCCTCACCTCTGTGTAGCACACCTTCCTCCTCTGAACTGACCAGGCTGAGCCCCAGCATCTCTGCCATGTAGGCCTTCAGCCAAAGAAAGAGTTGGTTCTGTCTCTAGGCAATAAACTGGAAACAGCAAACGCACCTATTACCATGCCAGTGATGCAGATGCGGTATATAGACACATGTCTCCACAATCACCAGCAAGGCAACAGGAAGGGAGCGTGAGGCGGAGAGGCTGGACCCTGCTGAGGCCACAGGCCTCTTGCAGACGCAGCGTGCGTGTGGTCCTCGGGAGAGAGCGAGCTGCTGCAGTTGGCTGTCGGCAACAGCGGAAGGGGGGGGGGCGGCTTATTAGCGTTTGTTCCTTTTCAAACCTCGCTCCACAGAAAGCCAGTCTACACGCTTTGCAGACTCCAGTGCATAATGGAAAGGCAATATCTTGGATTTTAAAAATTTGGAAATTTTAAGATGGTGACAACAAAGCATTAAAACAAATGCAGGGCTTTCCAAACTCAAAGGCAACTGTAACTCTACTGGTCCTATGCCAGGAGGCTAGGCCTGCTCTTCAGGTTTGCAGAATACCAAATGTACCTTAAGAGTTCCAGGGATGTTTGGAGAGATGTAGTGATATGAGACAGAAGCCTAACATCCTGAGGGAGCAAAGAGCAATAAACGGACCCCGAGAAAACTGTTGTCTCTTGTAAATTCTTGTCCATTCTGGTGAGCTGGGATACTGGGACAGATCACAGCTCTTCCTTTCAGGCCCTGTCTGTTCTTTGATCCTCCATCTGGCTGCTGTTCTGTGAACTTATGAGTTTAGTGAGTGCCAGAAGGCAAGATAGAAAATGGCTTGTTTACACTAAATTGATTATGTACATTCCTCAGCCTGTTTGTAACCCTCAATAAATGTGAGAAGTTTTGGTGGCTCAGGACTCAGTGGAGCTAGATTGGGCTCCTGAGTCCTCTTGCTTCCTGTCGTACATCAGAGAGAGCCCTTCCTGACCTCATCCCATTCTTCGTGAACCATGGATCACCGCCTCTTCCGTATGGCCAGGCCTCCCTCTGGACACTCATGCGAAGGTCCTGTACATGGCAAGGAGACCCCTTATCCAGAAGATTAAGAACCTGGAGAAGAACCAGATTGTCTCTTCTCTTTTACTGAGCAAAAGGCACATCAATAGACACAATTGCAAGTGGCAATTTGAGTGAGCACATTACATTCATTTAGCTGAGGGGTTTGTTCTCTTTGGATAGCTGAACAATAGAGAAAAGAGGAGGTCGAGGAGTTTCCGTTGTACACCGCATGAAATGTCCCTATTCAGTATACACACAGACACCATAGAATCATTTTCTTTTGTAGCTTTTTATTCATAAATTAAATGTCATTGTGTAAAATCATAATGTTGGGAGATAAACTTATCT